GAGTTGGAGGGGCGGTGAGAGGATTCACCAGAGACAGAGTGAGGAGCAGAACAGGCAGATCGACGAAGTACACTGCTGAGGGGAGCAGAGGGCAGGTCAGGAGAGGTCTGCTGTGGGTCACCTCTGGGGCAGGGGACTGAACTCGCACTGAAGTGACTGCATCTTGCTTGCAGTACTGAGCTTTAGCCCACTGTGCCACCAGGGAGGGCCTGCTTTCATTCACTCTTAACTCCCTTACTCCTTTTCAGCAATTCCTGTTCTGGAGCCTTCCCCGTAGCTCGGGGAGCAAGGCAGGTCACTGCCCTGGACAGGATGCCCCTCCACCACTGGGCATGTCACACCCACACCCACCTCAACTGGAACAGCTGAGGTGAGCCTAATGTCCACCTCCTCAGGATCTGGGAGGGAACCGGAGACCCAGGGAAAACTCACACAGACTTGGGGAAAAGGTGCAAACTCCATGGTGGTAGGTAGACAGTGGCCCTGGCTAGGAACTGATTTTTTTTTCATCAACTTTACAACAAAACGATGCTGAATGAAAAAATGTTATTAGAGGATCTGCTGACAAGGATGATGACAGTTGCCTAGGCTAGCATGGTGGCACAGCAGCCAGAGAAGAGGCTGGCCCATGGATATATTTGGAAGGTAGAACTGAAATTGGAATATGCTGGTGAGTTGGAAAGAGAGACATCCAGGATTATTCCAGAATTTTGGACTGTGCCATTGAAAGGAGGATCTGGGAACAGGGGGAGGTGAAGTGTGGGTCTAGGGGAATGTCAAGAATGCAGTGTCAGGTGCAATGAGCCTGAGCCTTATAGACTCCCAGGTGGGGCTGTGAGCACGCAGTTGGCTCTGTTTTCTAGATCAAGGTTGGCACCGGCATCTACTTTATAGATGCCTGGATGAGCTCATGAAGCAGCAAGTATTGTCAGAGTAGAAATGAGGTCCAAGGTTTAGTCCTGGATCCTTCTCCAACAAAGAGGATATACCATCAGTTTGGGGGTGTTCCTGAGCACCCCCAAACAATGCCTGGTACAAAGTAATAAATGCTAAGTCAGTGTTTACTGAATGAGTCGCTGGATGAATGAACAAGTAGTGCTAAGCACTAAGAGGAAAATAAAAGAGGGGGATGACTTAAATAAAATATGGGGGAGCATGGTCTCCTTTTTATAAGGTGTTCAGGGAGGGCCTCTTTGAAAAGGGAACGTTTGAGCCCTGAAAGAAAAGGAAGACAAATCAGTCACATAAAGAGTTAGGGAGGATGCCCTCCCTGGTGGCACAGCGGGTTGGAGCACTGCACCACAAAGCTAAGCCAAGCCATGGGCGCTTCAGTGCAAGGTCGATCCCCACCCTGGAGCTGATTCACAGGTGCAGCAGACCTCTTCTGTCTCGCAGGCTGCTCCCCTCAGCAGTGTATTTTGTAGATCTGTCTGTTCTGCTCCCCACTCTGTCTCTGTCTCTGGTGAATCCTCTCACCGCCACTGCACCTCAGGCCTATACTATATTTCTGTATGCAAATAAAATCTTAAAAAAAAAAAAAAAAAGAGGGAGGAAGGGCTAGTGCAAAGGCCCTGAGGCAGGAAGGAAGCGGTCTATTGGAAGATGTGAGGCTGTGCTCTGCAGGAACTTGCAGGCCCCCACCAGGACTTTGGGTCACAACCTGATGTCCGAGAGGGTTTTAAATGGAGGCAGGAAGGATCAGATAAATATTTTAAATGATCCCTCTGGAGAATGTCCTGTAAGAAGGCAGGAGTGGCAGCCAGGAGAGTGTTAGTAGGGATGGGATTTGCCTGGCTTGGCGGCAGTGGGGAGTGAAAGGATTCAAGATATTTTAGGAACACGATAGCAGTTGGGGAACTAAGAGCCCCATTTGCTCAACCCCACTGTGAAGATGTCCCCTACAGTCTGACTTGGGAGCGTCTTGGGTTTGGCGCTAGGACACTAGAAGGGCTGAGGAAGTTGCTCTTAAGGTTCTCCGTAATCACCTAACCTCAGACTCCAGGGGTTTGCCCATGGTCAGCAGTTATGAAGCTAGTAGGAAGGGTGTTGTGGCTGGCAGGGTCACTCCATGCCAGGCTCTGGGCTAGGGCCCTACGGCAGTGCAGACTAAGTGTGGCACAAGGTGGGGTTCATTCTCTCCTTCCCTTCACCGTCTGTGTTCCTGATCTCTACCCATGCCTTCTCCAGTGCTCCCGCTGTCCAACATTCCTGGACATTCCTCTACTCAAGAGGTGAGTCTGTGTCCCTGTCCCTGACCGTGGGCCCTGAGCCTCTGAGAGAACATAGTGGACTTGATGCTGGGCCAGATTTCAGGGCGAAGCCTTAAGAAATTGGCAGCTTCTGCTTCCTGTCTCCTGGGTTGTGTGCTCTGGGAACCCAGCCAGGCTGTGAGGGAGCCAAACAGTCACACGGAAAGGCCTCGCAGAGTCGTCTCAGTGACACCCCCACCTGAGAGCCAGCATCACTCTGCTCAACCTGTGAGTCACCTCGGCCTACAATGAGAAATGAGCCATCCCTACCCAGTGCTGCCCAAACTGCAGATCTGTGGGCAAAATGATACTGTTGTCGCTTTAAGCCACTTAAGCTTGGCGTGGTTTGTTCTGCGGCAATGGTTAGCTGGGACACCGAGTGTCACCTCTCCAGAACCATCTATCAGCAGACACCACTGAGCCTTCTTCTAAACCCCTCTGAAATCCATCATCTCTCTCCACCTTCCCTGCCACCCCATCTGTCACCTGGACAACTACATTAGCATCCTAATAGATCTCTTCCCACTCACTCGTGCCACTCAGCGTCTGTTTCATACACAGCATTCCAGAGAACTTGCTGGAAAGTCCATCTGATTTTCCCCCATCCATCTGTACCCACTTGAAACACTTAGTGGTTCTCCAGTCTCCTAGGATCAAGATTTAATAGCCCTCCCCTCTTTGGGTATAAGCTACACTGGTCACTCTTCTGTTCCTGCAGCGGCCCATGGACCCATTGTCCTGCAACTGAGAAGTTCCCTGCCCCACCCAACTAGGGGAGGAGGGGAGTGGCCTGCAGATACCCAAGCCTTGGAGTAGATGCAAAGGATATTCAGGAAGGAGAGACAGAGGAGGGGAGAGCCACATGGAGCAGAGACATGCAAAGGAGTGCACCCTTGCTTTCTGGGGCTTGAACTTCACAAAGGACTTGGGAGGCTTGGAGGAGACACGTGGAGTAAACACTTGGAAAAGACATGGATGAGAGACCTGTGGGAGGACGAAAATGGCAAACTTTAATTTGACTTGTATTTTGATTTTGCTTCACTCCCCCCAAATTTGCCTGGCCCCTTCTGCCCCTTTTCTATGGTCCCCTCCAGAAGGTGCCTTAGCCTTGTGGCTGGCTCTCAGGCCTCAGCAGCGCTGCTTTGGGCCAACCAGCTTTTGTTTTATTGGAAAACTACAAATTTCCACTTCTTCCCTCTCTATGCACATCTTTCTACTAAAGATCTTTCACACTCAGAATATGCTTTGTCTTTATGTGGCAGCTGGCAGAATTCCTTTAGATCATACAAGTTTGGGGGGCTCTGGGGTGCCCCTCAGTCTGCCCAAGTGCCTTTGCACATGCTGCTCCCACCCCCTGAAGTGACCCCCTTCACCCACCTCATTACCTAGGTCTCAGCCTAAATGTGACCTCTTACGTGAGGAGCTTCTAAGTCGGTGGTTTCGAAATGGAGTCCTGCCCAGCATTATCAGAAATGCCAGTGCTCAGGAGCAAACCCAAAGCTAAGGAACCAGAAATTTGGCAGCTGGCAGTTGGTGTTTAACAAACCCCACAGGTGGCTCTGATCCATGCACTGGAGAACTGTTGCTCAGCATACTCAGTTTGGGGCAGGACTTTCTCTTCTTCCAAGTGTCAATTCCTTGCCTTCAGAGAACTGCATTTGTGATTACACTGGTCTTCATTTGTGATTACACTGGTCTTTGTGAGATGATCCCGGGTCTGGCCCCCCTGGTAGACCAGAGCACAGAGGCACTCATTTCTGCTCCTTATTCCTGGGCGCCTGGCATATATCTGGCGCTTAGGGGTTGTAGTAGGATGAACAAATAAATATTGACAGTCAGCCTCCAAGCGGAGTGAGCTGCCCTGTCCGGTGTCCCTGGGTATCTGTGGGGGGTGGGGCTAAGGGCTGGACCTCTCAGAAATCTGGGATCCTAAAACTAGTCTAGGGAAGGGTAAGAAATTTTAAGAAACTTGAGGAACAAAGTGTTCTTGCCTGGCACTGATGGCAAGGGGCACACAGCCAGGCTGTAAATCCTCCCTGCCTTACCTTGGCCATTGAGTCTTGGTTTCCCAATCTGTAAAGTGGAAATGTTAATGATTCTCAACTCAGAAGCTCTTCAGCCAAGACAGCTGTCCTGCTTGGGGGACAGGGTGGACGGGTTAGCTGGATTCAGAACTTCACTTTCCCTTCCCTCCCCCCACCACCCCAGTAGCTTTCACTTTACTCCTGTTGACTACTGAGGAACCAGGCCTTGTTCTATGGGCCTTACTTGTTCTGTATCATTTAATAGAATGCGCTTCTGAGTGCTTCTAGAGACCAGATAATTGCCTGTGACAGATGACACTGGATGACAAATCGAGGGGATAAGTGGCAACAGAGGCAATAAGGCTACACCACGATGTACGTGTAAAGTCTCCGACCTGCCGCAACCTGGTTATGTCAGAGTCCTTGCTGCTGCCGTCTCTGGGACAGTCCTAAATTTAGGTCCCACTCTCAGTGGGATGCAATGACCCTTACCTTGGCTACACTTGACCAAGTGTTCAGTGGGCTTGGGTTGGGCCTCCTGGCCACAGTCTTGTCCCCGGCCCTGGGCCTGTGTGCCGACGGTACTGAGTGCTTGCTGAAGGAAGGGGCAGTGTTGGCCCTTGTGAGCTCCCCCACCACTGTGCTGACTCCGCCCCCTTCCCTTGCCCAGGGGTAAAAGCTTACAGCTGGGGCCCCTTTGGAGGTTCTGTTTTTCTGGAGCTCCAGCATGGCGGCCACCAGCCCTGTAAGTCCACACACCTACCTGTCCTGCTGCGGGGACAGGGCTGGGCGGTGGGATAGCTGCTCCCCCACCTCATTTCTTCCTTTGATCAGGTCAGAGAGCCTGAGGGTGGAATCCAAGACTGCAAGGAGAAGAAGCCAGAGAAAGAGCAGGCAGCTGTGGGGGTGACTGTGGAAGAGGACGCCCAGGCTACAAACTCTCCCCAGGATCCACAGTCCCTGAGGAAGGAGGCCCAGGATCAGGGGCCCTTGGGTATCAAGTTTGAGCTGCACCCACTGTTGACCAGGTAAGGCAAGCCCCTGCCTTGTGGCATCTGATGACCCCTATTCTCGGGCCCCAGTCCTCCTCCTGGGCCTTTGTTGGCCCTCTGGCCTTAACTCAGCCGGGACTGGGTTAAACATTGGTTTTTTAGGATAAAGGACTCTGGTCACCTTAGGGGGTGGTTTCCTGTGCCTCCAAATTCTACTGCCCATTGTCCTTGGAGGGCCAGTGGTGCCAGGGGTGGGCCTGGAGGCCCTCTGCTTCCTTTTGGTCACTCCTCCCCAGGTGGGCTCTGTGGTTCTCCAAGAATGACCGCACCCGGGCCTGGAGGGATAACCTGCACCTGGTCACCAAATTTGACACCGTGGAGGACTTCTGGGCGTGAGTGTCTGGCCCCTGAAAGGCTGGGGCCTGGAGGCTGTGAGCTGGGGTCCTTCCCAAAGGGGACCCTCCAAGGGGATGCTCCTGAAGTTTTCTCAGCCCTTTCTTAGGTCTTTCAGCATTTGCTGAGGATTGGACCTTGGTTGGCTCTGTCTGAGGTGAGGGGTCACTGGCTGGGACACTGGCCCCCTAGAAGTCTTCTTGGGGCTTTAGGGAGTTGGGAGAAGACCTTGACCTTGATCCTGCTGCACCATGGCTTTGTGATTCCTGGCAAGTTGCTTCTCTCTGAGCTTGTCTCAGTCATAAAGTGAGGATTAGATGGCCTCAGAGTGTCCCCTAGTGATCAAGGCAGGGGACCTGAAAAGTGCTGGGGGAACCCTCACCTGAGGCTTGAGAAGCAAACCCTTCATTGGGGTCTAAAATCCTCTCAGGGCTTGGGTGGTCAAGAAATCCTCAAGAGAGAAGTTGGGATGGGAGGTCTGTTCAGGAAGGGCTCTGTGAGCAGATGTTTGGAGGTCTGAGGTGGGTAGAAAGCAGTGGGGGCTGCTAAGAAGTTGAAAGGTGATACCAGTTGGAAGCAGGCCCTATAATGCCTTGATGCTCACCCTGGGGTGGGGCCTATCCCCAGGATATACAACCATATCAAGCTGGCCAGTAAACTCTCTTCAGGCTGCGACTATGCCCTGTTTAAGGTAAGCTGCTTCTGTGTTTACCCCATCCCCAACCCCCACCCTGCACCCAGGGCCTGATTCTTCCCAGCTGAGGCTGCATCCTTCCCTGACAGGTAGATTGGGGGTGGGGGTCAATGAACAGCCTCCCTCAGAGCTGTGTGATTTCTGACAGGACATGCTATGCTGAAGCTTAGATAGTGTTATAGCTGAGCTTCACCTTAGAAGACCTTTAAGAGTCTGGAAAGGGCTGCGGTGTCAAGGCCTCCTTGACCCAGCTTTCTGGCTTGGCTCTGTAGCTAGAGAGTGTGCATCAGAATTGCACAGGCACACTCAGCAATGTCCAGACCCACCCCTAGACTTGCTGACCCTGTGGTGTGCACGCAAGCCGTGGTGTTGGTGATGAACAATCTCTCTGGGTGATGTGTGTGTGCATCCAGCTGCGTTTACATGGCTGCTCCAGCCCAGGCTGGGTCCGTCCCAGAAGCTTCCTTAATCAATTCCATTGAACTCTCTTGTCTCAAGAACTTGGTTCAGTGAAGGACACACTCCGGCAGGCTATAAAAAGTGACAAATGCCGAGGCTCATGGGTTTGTGACAACTCAAAGCAGGATCCGGGGGGCTGTAACTTGTGATGGAAACATCTACAGAGGGGACAGAGGCGAGCGAGAACCTGGCGTGTGGAGGTCTCCTGAGGGATTGGAGCAGGACCAGGGAGGGTGGGTAAGCCCCCACCTCCCTCTGAACAGAGGAAGGCAGTGGTTTGTCCTCCTGTCCCCAGGATGGCATTGAGCCCATGTGGGAAGACAGCAAGAATAAGCGAGGTGGCCGCTGGCTAGTCAGCCTGGCCAAGCAGCAGCGCCACATGGAGCTGGACCGCCTGTGGCTGGAGACAGTGAGTGGGGGAGCATAGGTGGGTCCCCAAGGAGAGGGTCTGGGTTGCGGTGGGCCCCGTGGTGGCGGTGGCCTCAAGGTTGGTGGGCAGGCCCTGTGCCCCGGCTGGAGGTCTTCATGCTCTGCTTTGGGCCTCAGCTGCTCTGCCTGATTGGGGAGAGCTTTGCGGACTACAGCCAGGACGTTTGTGGGGCGGTCATCAACATTCGTACCAAGGGGGACAAGATCGCCGTGTGGACGAGGGAGGCTGAAGAACAGGCTGGCGTGCTGCACATTGGGTGAGGGCACCTCTGGTAAGGGTGGGGCAGTGTCTCTGCTGGGAAAGAAGGCGAGAGGAGGGTGGCTTGGCTGCAGGCCTCTGGAACTCTTCCTTTACTCACCTACACGAAGGCAACAGATTCCAAATTCTAACAGAACTTTTTGGCATTAAAGAGTGGCATTTTGGGTAAGACACAAATGGGAGTGACTGTGGCTAGAACTGGGTAGGAGATCCTGGCAAAGGACACAGGGTCCCGGTTTTCCCCAGGACCCCTGCTGATAGCTTCATTTCCTCTCTACTCCCCACCCAGGCGTGTCTATAAAGACCGTCTAGGCCTCTCCACAAAGACCATCATCGGCTACCAGGCCCATGCAGACACGGCCACCAAGAGCAACTCTCTAGCTAAGAACAAGTTTGTGGTGTGAGGGCGTCCTGAGTCTTCTTCGGGTGCACATGTTGAGGGGCTGGACTGCACCATGGATCCTGGGGAGGACTTGGGGGCGGAAAGCTGGGCTCTTCCCTCCCCTGGTTCCACCCCGGGTGGGGTGAATCTTTGGCTAAAGTAGGAAGCTGAAAGAGAACTCTACGATTCCGCACTTACTCGGTGGCATTAAAGAGTGGTATTAAAGAGAACTCTGATTCCGCACTTATTCCTCCCACTTGGTAAGGGGGTTAGATGACCTGATGGCCAGACTTCCTTTTTTTGGGGAGGCAGGGGACAGGTTTTGAGGTCACTGATACAGAACTGGGTGGAGTTCAGGACAGAGTGGGTCTCAGCTTGGTGGTCATTCTGCTTAAAGGCTTTTGTGGGTGGTCTCATGAGATCTGCAGTCCTGGCGCTCACCCCGCTTCCTGAGCCTTTCGCCAGCAGTG